GTTGCCGAGGACATGGTGCACACCGGAATTTCTAGCACTATAGTAAGAAGCGGCACCAGGACCGCTTCAGAATCTGAGCCTGTTCTTGCAGCAGCAGCTTTTGTCAGACGGGCTTTTTGCAAAGAAGTCCCCAAAGGGTACATGTACCTATATGGTAGATACTTGGGCCTTGAAGGGGTTCCTATATAGTAGCTTTAGGGCCCAAGTATATGCCATATAGGTACATGGACCCTCTTACAGCTTAACCCTAAACCCTAAACCCTAAACCCTAAACGAGTCGGCAGAAGCTTCATGGCCTCATGGGGGGGGGCGCGAGCTCCTGAGGCTGGGACCAGTCGAGGCTCACTGTGCCGAAGTTGAAGTCGAAGAGGTTGCAGGTTTGCCTTACTGCCTAGTAGGGTTTTGGGTTTATGGTTTAGGGAGTAGGGAGTGGGGGAATGAGGTACCCTTATGCAACCTCTTAAAAGGTGTATATATATATATATATATAGGGGGAGATGGTAACCTCATTCATTGAGGTATCTTGATATGTAATCTCTTAAAGAGTATATTATAGAGGGATGTAGGGTACCTCATTCCCTACTAGCAGCAAGTTGCCCCATGAGCCGGACCCAGCACTTCTGCCGGCCCCAGTCCACTCGGATCCCGTTGTCGTCCACCTTGGGGACGAATTATGAAACCCTAAAAGGGTTTATGGTTCATAAACCTGAATAGGAATTATGGTAGTACAGGGCAATAGGACCCCAAAGTTAGGGTCCGTAGTATGGCTTCTAGGACCCCAATTTTAGGGTTCATTTCGTCCCCAAGGCACGTGCATGTCGGGCGTTCGAGTGTCTGGGCAGCCAGCGCTCCAGTCCGAGAAGCCGTTCACCAGGATGTCCACGGCCATCTCCTTAGGGTTTAGGGCTTAGGGCTTAGACTACTCCACGCCAGTCGCAAAACGAAGAAAAATCAAAGCTTCCGGATGCAAGCATCTCTGGATTCTTAAACGGTGGTTCTTGGAGGCATTCGCGGGGGTAGTTGTAGGTATATAGTTGTTACAAGAGTGTTTACAAGTATCCCCCTTGGCAACGACTAGTAAAAGAGGACTCAAAGAAAGCCTTGGCTTCCACCGAGTCGATCACAGTGTTGGCCACGAAGGACACTTGGTCGCTGGCCGCGTTGTAGGCATCGCTCAGCTGGCTGCCGACCAAACCTCACGGTCATGGGGTTCCCAGACGCTTCTTTTATAAACTCTAGAGCTGACTGCCAGTCCCCTCTCAAAAAGCGTAGCCACGTGATTCACAGGGAGAGTGGCAGCATGCCAGAAACAGCTGGACAAACAAAACCAGAAAAAGCTGGCCGGGCCTGTGCCGTCGTTGGCGGCGGCCGCCACTTGCGAGGCCGTCTGTGTCACCGCACTGGTGGCGGAGGAGGCAACGCTTTGAACCGCCTTGAAGAATCGGCGCCGGCGCCTTGGCCAGCCACGCCGACGGGACATGGTGCCTTCCGTGCTTCCCTCCTCGCTGGCCTCCTCTAACAAGGAGGCGTCGTCCTCTGGGCCCTCTTGGGCTTCCTTCTGGTGCCGCTTAGCAAGAAGCTCTCGCTTCTCTTGCGGCTTCTCTTCCTTCGGGCTGCTCTTGGGCTTGAAGTCCCGGTTCTCCCGCTGGTGGTTGTGCTTCTTCATCACGCTCCGAAGGGTCTCCTGGGCTTTCTTCTGGCGCGTGGCCGGGTCGGACTCCGCCATGGAGACCGAGGAGTCGTCATGATCCAGGTCGAGGTGGTCCTTGACGATGCCCCGGAGGTCCTTCAACCCTAAACCCTAAACCCTAAACCCAAGAAAACCGAAGGGCAAGGCCGCAGTTCACTTGTCACTCACGCCTTGGGGACGACATGAACCCTAAAAGGGTTTATAGTTCATGTACCATAATAGGAATTATAGTAGTATAGGGTTTAGGGTTTAGGGTTTAGGGTTTGGGGTTTAGGGTTTAGGGTTGAGAACCCCAATTTTAGGGTTCATTTGGTCCCCAAGGCAGGTGCTAGTAGTGTAAGCAGTATGGGACATCACGCTGGCCACTATGAACAACGAAGCTATTGGGAAAAAACATCCAACACGCTAGCGCCGAACACGAATCCAATGAGACAATGGTTACTACTGCTAAGCGACGACCACCGCTAAGAGAACACGTGTGCAAAGAACACGATTGCTCCGAAGATTGCACCAGAGAATCACACCCATTCGCGTTGCAGGAATTGCGAAGATGGAATGGAGTGATCATACAAGAACCCCCCCCTGGCAAAAACTTGTGGAACCAATGACCGATTGCACACTTATCTGCATGACCACAGACCCGATCCAGGGTTTAGGGTTTAGGGTTTAGGGTTTATAAGTTTAGGGTCCGACATAGTTGTGAGAGCTGCTCTGTCTGCTGACTTAGTCTTGCTGAGCTTAGACAAAGATGACGGGCTCGCGGTTGGGCGCTTTCGGCGTAGTGAAGTGGATGGTAGGATGGTCTGCTTTACTTAACAAGCATTCCAGAAGCCCTCACACCAACGTCCTGAATCTCATGCTGCTGCAGCTCGACCACTGTCTCAAGCTGAACGATCTTCAGCATCCTCACAAGACTTCAGTGGACAGCTCTTCACTCTCAGACCCCCACATGAACCCCTACAAAAAAAACAGCGTGTTGAGGAAACAAACCACTTGAGAGAACGAAACCTTCAACACTGGGATGTTCCACCTTATACTCACAGTCCTTCATAGGGATTGTAGTAGTGGGATACTATAATCCCTATTAAGGACTGTTAGAACTGTTCTACAGTCCTTGGGGACGAAATGAACCCTAAAAGGGTTTATAGTTCATATACCTTAATAAGAATTATGGTAGTATAGGGTATAGAACCCCAATTTTAGGGTTCATTTGGTCCCCAAGGCATCCCACCCCCTTTCCGCTGAGCATCAGGAACTCGAGGTTGCGCCCAAGCTCGCCCATTCCTGGGCTGGAGAGATGGGCCCCTAAACCCTAAACCCTAAACCCTAAACCCTAAACCCTAAACCCTAAACCCTAAACCCTAAACCCTAAACCCTAAACCCTAACGAAGCCTTCAGACGAGACTTGCAACAGCTCTTCAAACGACTGGCAAATTCCTTCCAACCACCTTCGGCCCGGCACAGGAGTTAGGGGGTGAAGGGGGATTTAGGGTTTAGGGTTTAGGGTTTAGGGTTTAGGGTTTAGGGTTTAGGGTTTAGGGTTTAGGGTTTAGGGTTTAGGGGGTCAGGTTGGGAGTTTGGTATTTAGGAAAAACTGGAGGTGGAAGCTTTTTCCACTAGCACGGTTGAGGCTCGAGGGCTTCGGGCCGGGTCCCAGGGGCTTCCGGCAAACAATTGTGGGCAGACTTCCCCTTTAGACTCTCGGGCTTTTGTGTGACACAACTACAACCCTAAACCCTATAAACCCTATAAACCCTCTAAACCCTATAAACCTATAAACCCTATAAACCCTAAAAGATTCAAAGGAGCTCTAAAGTAGAAGAAGGGGAGACGGCTTTCCTGGCCAGGCACGGCTTCCGCACGGAAGGGTCCTTGTGTATTTCGTTCCTTCTTATCTGCACTATCCCACCCCCAAAGCCTGAATCCTCTGAACCCTAAAGAACCCTCCTAAACCCTCCGAAAGCCTCCTAAACCCTCCGCTTTTTTGCAGCCGGGCTGAGGGCGTTGCCGGAACCCTCCTTAGCCCCAAGCCCCCTCAACATCTGCAAGCCCTCCTGCGCCCTGTCCGCTTCCTAAGACCACAATACATCTCCCAGGCTCCGTGGGTGGCATTTCCGCTGACATTCTCGGGGTTCGGGATGCTGTTCATCTCCTTCCCAAAAAACTCGGCGTGCTTTACACAACTCTTCTTTGACCCCTAAACACCTCTCCCTCTGCCTCTCTCTCACACACACACACCTCTCCCTCTCTCACACACACCCACACATGCTTTTACGAACTTTTGCAGACGCCTCCCGGTACAGACGCGCTGCTTCGCACCTCGCCTTCATGTCGTGCTCTGCGTTCTCCCCCAAGATCATCTCCAACTCTTTGTTCACTGTGCCGTTGCCTAAGCTGCTTCTGCAAGTTAACAGAGGGATGACAGGAAGGAAGACAGGCGCAAGGACATGACACCTGAAAGAGCTTCAACGGTTGCAAGGGAGCACAAGAGAAGTGCGCAGGCTAGCACCAATCTAGCTCCAATCTAGCACCAAGTTCTGGCCCCAGATGCTGGTGTTGGGCGTCATATTGAGGGGGAAGTCGCGGTCCTCGATGGAAAGGTTGACGCCAGAGTGCGTCTCAGCCTTCCTTTTCTGGGAGAGCAGCATGGAACATCCATGACTCCCTGACTCCTATGAGGCACTATGACTCGGGTACAGCATGCAACACGGACTAAGCCCTAAACCCTAAACCCTAAACCCTAAAGGCATTTCCACTCCGTCAGATCCAAGTTTCAAGGCCAACAGGGATGCAGCCGTGGCTGCACAGTGCCCCCCATGGCAGGGATCGTCCGCCCTGCTCATGGCAAGGATCGCCGAACAAAGCAGGCCGAGAGGCCAACCGGTTGAAAGACCCATTGTAACGGGCCGCGTGAAAGAACAGATCCGGGCTGAACGGATGTTGAGCCGAGATTGCTGAGGCCAACCCGACTCCTGGCAAGAACACACACAACGACTGAACAGCACCTTCGTGCATCCCTCTCTTCCCTTAGCTCATCAGCCCAATGCTGAACGGCGCGGCATTTTTTCTAGCATTCTGAAGGGCAATGTTTGATGCTCTTTGGCCCCAGCCTGCCAATGGCCGGCGGCTGGCGAGTGAAGCACTTGCATATAAGGCTTAGTTTCGATTTCAGGCCTAGGCCTGCAGGTGCTGGCATCTGCTGCTACAGGGGCCTTCATGATTAGAATAGGATTTTGGGGCATTTTGGGGTATAATTACAAAGGGACCATAGTGGGAATACTCTTAGTGCTTTTTCCGACCCCCTAAGAGACTACGGCCAGCCGGAGTGTGCGGCTGTGGGCGTCTGAGGCGGGATGGGCCTTTCAGGGGCGACGGGGTTCGCTTTTCTCAGGTTGAGACCGCGGGTTCGGTCGCACCTGTGTCCGTGCTCACTGGGCATCCCTTGAACCTATGCTGAACTTGGGGCCCTACAGTAGCAAAAATTACTTTTTATGCTGTTTCTTAGGATATTGTAGTACCCAAAACATGAAAATTGTTTCCAAGTACCCCTAAGGAACGTAGGCCAGATGGCACTTCTTGCAGCAGAAGCCTCCGAAGGCCACCTTGGTGACGGTGTACTGGCAGCCTTGGTGTGCACAGCCCAGGCCAAGACTGACTTCTGCTTGGTTTGCAGTCCCAGAATGCGAAGTCGCATACGAAGAAGTGGGCTGGGCTTGAGGAGGAATAGGAGGAGGAGGAGGGCGGGAGAGGAAGGCTTTGGCTGCCTCGTAAGCTGCAAAGGCGATTCTGAAAGCCTCCCCGCAGCGTTGTGGACCACCAGCGGCTGCGGCTATTGGACCAGTCTTATCTGGGTGCAGTGTGAGCAACATCTGGCGCTTCTTCCGTTCCAGCTCTGCTGATTGGAATAAGGGTGGCAGTTGCAAAATCCGCTCGAAGTCATGGGCCAGGCCATGCGCTTTCAGATACAAGATGCGATCCACCTCAACGGCGAGATGCCGCCTCTGCCTGACTTGCGCATCCGACTCAGCCGCGCTTGGCTGAGCAGGGTGCGAGTGTCCTGCATGGCTCGGCGTGGCTGGTGGGTGCCCAGGCGTCTGCGTAGGGGTGGTGTCAGGGGCCGGGGCTGTGTGGCTTGCTGTTTCGGGCGCGCTCCGAGGCCGCTGCGGTGCAGCGTGGGCCTGGGCCCACTCTGCCTGAGCGTGCGTTGCTTGGGCCGTGTTCTGCCCCTCTTGCCCACCGCTTGGAGGAGGCGGAGTCTGGGCATGCCCTGCATGCGATGCTTGCGTTGCTGGGCAAGAGTTTGTTCTGTTCTGCTCTTGCGTTGCGGATGTTGCGGGCTCTGGCTGTGTCTGTGCCTGGGCTGCCTGGGCTGCCTGGGCTGCCTGGGCTGCCTGGGCCCGCTGCTGCGCTGCCGCCGGAGATGCCTGCGCTTCTGGCTGCGGCCTTTGCAGGGGAGGTATCTGCGGTACCCGAGGTAGCTGAGGTACCGGAGGTACCTGAGGTATCTCACCTCCCAGCAAGAGGACCGCATCCTTGAGCTCGCGAGGTGTCTCGGGCTTGGGAACATCGGAATCTGGAGCGGCTGGAGCCACGGGTGTGTGTGAAAACACATTCCATTCCAGGCGGATCGGCTCCAATTCTCCGATGTACTCCTTTTGGGCCCCATTTTGGGCCGCTGCAATTCTTGCCGCCTTGCTGCCCATGGCCGTGCCTAGCCCATGTCGGGACATAGCCGCTTTGCTGAGAGTTTACGGAATCATACAGGGGCTAGAAGCGGATTCATGTTACTGTTGGCAATCACAAAAAGGCTGTACTGGGCACATTACCAGAACAAGAGTACCCGTTTTTTGTGTGAGGCACGTTTATGAAGGAACCCCAAGCCCGAAAAAGGGCTGAAGGGTGCTTGGCTACCAAGAAAGTAAGGCCCTAGTGCGACCAACGGCTACGGGCTTTCACGGCTCGGGCCAGCGTGCCTCACACGGAGAACGCCCTCTTTGCTGGTGCGAATTGACTGGGCTGCAATACCTGACATGCCCAAAGCAAATGATGGAACACTATGAAATTTGCGAGACCCTGCTCGTCCTGAACATCAACATCCCGAGACCCAATGTGCTGCATCACTACCTCACCATCCTCAAACCAGCGCTGAACAAAAATCAGCGAAGCCCCCCCCCTTCTTTCTCGAGCTGCCTTAAAAAAAGGTCCTCATGAGCTTCTACGCGACATATATCCCCTACACACGAAAAAATCTCGCAGCTGCGACTCAGAGATCCTTGGCGTAGCGGAGACCAGGCTGCCCCTCACCTGGGGAGCGAAATCAAAACTAAAAGGGTTTTATTTCAAGGGGTTTATAGGGTTTAGGGTTTAAGAGTTTAGGGTTCAGGGTGTAGGGTTTAGGGTTCATATACCTTAATAGGAATTAGAGTAGTATTAGGGTCTATAGGACCCCAATTTCAGGGTTCATTTGGTCCCCAAGGCTCACCAAAGAGGTCCGGGACTTCGGCCCGGAGGGTGAAGCCCGACTTCTCGTAGAAGCTCCGCGCCTTGGCCAGCGCCTCTGGCTTGTTGCAGAAGAGGGAAAGATTCGGGTTTAGGGGTGCGAGGCTACAAATGCCAGCGCGCGAGATGCATCACTCGGGCTCATTCTGCAGGATCTCGGTTCGGGTTGCAGGGTTTGATCTCATTTGCCTCGAAACCCCAAAATCCCCTCCAAACCCCTCCAACACCCGATGGCTGGACTCGAAGGTCCTCAAGCGCGCCTCGTCTCCCGTCGTTTCCACCAGAAGACATCGGGCTCCTTTTGCATGGGGAAACTCTCGCTCTCTCCCATTGTTCTGTCTTTCTTTATTGATTGAGGCATGGGGGCAAGCCCCCGGGCGTCCGCGCCCGCCCCTGTATTCGGGCTGCTCCTTGGAACTTCTGAGTTTGGGCGTGTGGCGGCGCGTGGCCGGTTCTCCCACCCGTATTCTTAATCTCATGCACCAAGTCACTACAAAGAACACCAAATCCTGGCTTTTCAACGAGAGATTTTTGACACGCGGGTGGCAAAGACAAGCAAAAGATACAGAGAGAAAGAGAGAGAGAGAGAGAGAGAGAGAAAGCGAGAGCGAGAGCGAGAGCGAGAGAGAGAGAGAGAGAGAGAGAGAGAAAAAAAATGAAATAAACAAATAATATATACATATATATACATATAAAAACAGAAAGAGAGAGAGGGAGAGGGCCCGAGGTATAGGAAGGTGTTTGAACCGTCATTGTTGCAAGTCAGAACGGGTCGCCAGGCCACCCGACAATGCGGAACGGGGCCTAGTAATCTGGTGTATGGGTTCGAAAAAAAGGCGAGGGGCAGCGTAGTCCGGATGCAAAAAAAAAGTCTCAAACGTGTACCCTGGAAGCCTTGAAGCAGAGCCCTGAAGACTTCCTCGACTTGAGTACCTCAACCCTATACCCGAAATCTCCCGAAATCCTGTGCACTCTGCCGCTGCCCCCCCTCGAGAACTGCCTCCCCAAAACCGGTCAACAACTCCACCAGTCTCCTTGGGATCGCGCGAAGTCCTCCACGTGTTTGAGGAGGACCTGCGCAGACAACGGTCGAGGTCTCAAGCAGCTGCACCTCTCGGGTTGGGAGTTTGGGGCCTCTAAGCCCTTGAGAGTTCAGGAGTGTTTTTAGTGTGATCAGGTTCACAACATCCGAAAGCCTTAAGGCGAGAGACAGAAATACTTTTTTCTGCTGAGCAGAGAAGTGAGACCAACGCACAGGAATTCAGCGTTGAGCAGCACAGCAAAGAGCAGGCCAAATGCCACACCCCAGCGCCCTGAACCCAACTGCAGACCCTGAGAGCACAGCTCCAAAACCAGAACTTAGAACTCCCAGGTTAGAGGGTTTAGGGTTCAGGGTTACCGAAGGTTTAGGGTTTAGGGTTGAGGGTTTAGGGTTACCGAGGGTTTAGGATTTAGGGTTTATAATTTAGGGTTTAGGGTTTACCGAGGAATCCTTGTGGCTGACTTGGGCACTCGCAGCACGTGGAAAAGACACGACGCACCTCTCCAAGCCCGCTTGTTTCGCTTCAATCCCTCAAGGCCCCCAAAGCCCTCTAAACCCTTAGTTTTAACCTAGACCCTGTAGCCCAAACCCTAACCCCGAAGCCATAGACCCTTTTTGCAACCAGCACTGCGCAGCTGCCAAAAAAACTCAGACCCCTAAACCCTAAACCCTAACCCCTAAACCCTTTTGCCTAAACCCTAAACCCTTTTGCATAAACCCTAAACCCTAAACCCTCAACCCTTTTGCATAAACCCTAAACCCTAAACCCTCCCAATTCCTGAGACTCTTGCCTGGCCGTGGCCCTGGCGCTGGAACGCCGGGAGCACTCCGAGGAAATACATGTTGAAAGTGCCCTCCTGGCTTGATAAATTGGCAGGGTTTGCTGAGGTTTAGGGTTTAGGGTTTAGGGTTTAGGGTTTAGGGTTTAGGGTTTAGGGTTAGGGTTTAGGGTTTAGGGTTTAGGGTTTAGGGTAGGTCACGACTCAATGGCTGAGAGTGGAAGGATGAAGAGGCATAAGGGAAAGAAGGCTAAGTGAGCATCATCGCCGCCTGATGCTGCTTGCCCCGTGGCATTGGTCAGGCGCAAGTTGAATCATGGGCTTGGGGTCTCAAGCCTCTTGTGTTGTGGTCTCACTGGAGCTGAGCCTTGATGGTACTGATGTTGTGTGCTTAACTAAGGGCCTTGTGGCGATTTGGTCTGCAGTGTCCGTGCAGCGCTCGAATCGACCAAACGCTGGCAGATCGGACCAAGAGGGTGGACGGCGACCACGTCTGGGTGTGGAGGACGGCTTCCGCAATGCCCCATGGGCTCGCTCTGGTATTTATTGGAACCAATTATAACCGACCTCAGCGCCAGAAATATCGGGAACCGTACTGGACCACCTGGACCACTAACGGCTTTGCTGGGAATCCTTAGCTGGAGAAACTCTACGTAAGACTCGCAGCCACAAATCCTGAAGCTTTGAACCTCCCTCTCTCCTATAAAAACCATGAAGCCCTTCGAGACTGCCCTCTCAACCCTAAACCCTAAACCCTAAACCCTACACCCTAAACCCAAACCCTGAACCCTGAACCCTAAGCCCTTCCTCCTCTGGCTGCGGTGCCACGTAGGTCGCGCCCGTGATGCCCTCCTCAGCCTCGGCCACGAACCACCTCAGGGGCTAGCTTAGGGTGTTTAGGGTTTAGGGGGTACCTCTCTATTCGGTTCAGGCTCAGGACGTTGGGTTCTGGGGGGAGTTCAGGGCAGGCCAGGGACTAAAGCACTGTCTGGGCGGTCTCCGAACACCCCCTTGGTATCTGCCTTGGGGACGAAATGAACCCCAAAAGGGCTTGTGGTTCGTACACCTTAGGTTTAGGGTTTAGGGTTTAGGGTTCATCTGGTCCCCAAGGTTAGTCTGGGTGCAAGGTTCTTGTTGGGAAGCCTAGGGGCTATCTCCCTGGACAACGCTCGAACTCTTCAGCCCCTGAGGCACAATCCAGCCTTATAACCAGCTAAACTTTGCCTAAAAAAGCTGCGGTCAAAACCCGCGACCGGAAGATCTTTTTAAACATTTTCGACCCTGTTGTAAACCACTGAGCCCCCTTGATGCCAAGCGGACTGGTTGGTCGGCTCCTGCTCGCCCTTGACGAACTGCTTGAGGGGCGTTTCCTGGATGTCGTCCCCTAAGCTCCTCAACCTTAAATCCCTTAATGGGCTTGTTGAGGGAACGCCGCCCTAAACCCTCCAGGTGTCTTTTTCCTACAGGATGCTGGGAGTCCTGGCTTCACAGAGGATTTCAGGGTTGCCAGGGTTTCAAACCCTAAACCCTAAACCCTAAACCCTAAACCCTAAACCCTAAACCCTAAACCCTAAACCCTAAACCCTAAACCGTTTGGGGATCTTGGACTCTCAGGCTTTTCAGGGCTTCAAGGGCTTGAGTTGCTTCCTAGCTCAAGGGCTTCAACAGCTTCACTGGCTACAAGGCTTTAGGGTCTGGGTTTTTGGCAGGCGTTGAGTTTTTTGAGTTTTTTTTTTTGGGGGGGGGGGGGGGGGGGGGGGGGGGGGGGTGGGGGGGAGCCTGATTACACCCTGAAACTTCAGGTTCTGCCATGCCCTATAAGTCCACGCTTTGGAGGCCTCAGGTGTGGTTTGGTATTGTGAGCCGGGGGCGAAGAAAGGGAGGTTGCAACCAGGTTATGTTGGGGCTCGCTGCCTCTGGTGATCATTCTTCAGACTTGCGGGGGGTTCCGAAAATAGGGGTACCTTAAGGGTCCTTATCAGAAGGAAGTCTTATACTTTTTGGGGGGGTCTATGAAAGGGGTCCCCCCGTTAGTTTCGTAAACTCCCACTTGCCAATGGCTTCTGACAAGACTTGGGCCTGGAGAGGTTGTCCCCTCAGCCCGAAACCCCTGTGAATCCTGACGTTATCCTTCTAGGGCCAAGACGGGGCTCACTGGTGGATTTCAGCTGTTTAGGGTCTTTAGGGTTTTCCCTAAACCCTAAACCCTAAGCCTTATAAACCCTAAACCCGAAAACCCTAAACGGTTTTTAGGGTTCAGAGGACCGAAGCAGCTGGGCCGCGATGAGCTCGTCGATCTCCTCGCTGGAGTCGAAGATGTTGATGCCTCTGAGGCTGATAAGAAGTCGAAAAGGTAAGAAGGGTTTAGGATTTAGGGTTTAGGGTTTAGCGCGCTAAACATAGAACCATCATGCCGCTGCATGTTCACTCTGCTGAAGCATGTCTTCGAGAGTTACTCGAGCTCACTCCCACCACTATTCCCACTAGCACTAGGTTTAAGGTTCGGGGTTTAGGGTTTAGGGTCCTACCCAGATCCCTTGAAGGATCCAAAACGCAGATCCCATTAAGGGCATCCTAAGAATGCCCCAATAGTAGTACAGGGTACTATTGGAAGGTTTAGGGTTTAGTCTGGGTAATAGCTCGCCCCCACCAGAGCTTCTCAGATAAACCTTCTCAGGCCAGTGCTGTGAACAATGCCGTGAGTGCCGAGACTTTAGGGCTTCGTTTGGGTTTCGGGTGTGGGGTGTTCGGTGGCTTTGTGTGGTTGGAACACCGCATCTGTTCTGGGTGCATGCTGGCAACCTTCTGCCACCTTTCGCACAGCGGGGATGTCCTTCTCGACAGCAGTTCGCGGCATGGCAAGCAAAAAAGCGATAGCAGCTACACGGCAACACCAACAGAATACGAACGGTCGTGGGTGACGCGATGCTCTGCAGGTGTTGTGCCTCTCTCTGGCAAAGACTTTCGTAAGCCCTATGTAGCCCTGTGGACCCGAATCCTTCAGGTCTGGAGCGTGAGCAAAAGCAGCTCTAAGCGTCTGCTGAAAACCATGTCATGCTGACCACCCTCTTGCCTTGGGGTTTTTCACTGTTGAGGTTCGAGGAATACACTTGACGAGTTCGTCGTGTTTTTTGCTGGCCACCTCAGCGTATCGACGAAAACGTGGAGTCGAAGACATTTTCACGGTGCCATGGAGGCCCTCATCTGTACTCAGAAATGGAGTACACCCCAAACAAAACTTCAGAAATCCAAAGCCACGCCTTGCCTTTGAGCCCCAGTGCCCCTTTGGAAGAGCAGCGGGGGGGCCTTAAGCATCTGTGCCGCACATGCCCAAGAACCAGGGCGACCACGATATGGCGGGTCATGACGCACATAAGCCACGTTCAAAGGAGCAGGCTTCTTGTGCGTAGTCGTAGTCCAGGCTACAAGCTTTACGGCCGTCGGCTTAGGATGCAAAAACCATCGTTTCGACAGCCTATAGCGGCCTCGCAACCACGTGACAGGGATGGAAGATGTTTTCGGATTCAGGGTTTGGGGATGTTTGGGGTTTCAAGCTTGGGGTTGGGTTTACTTGGGGCTCAAACCTCGCACATTCAGGGTTTATTATAGGTCTTGAAGATCTGCGAGCAGCTCACACAGCCTCAGGTCTTCAGGCCTTCTGGCGCGGTTTCTGAACTCCACGACTCCTTATGTAAACTCAAAAGACGAAACCCCACACATCCTGAAACCCTCGCACCTCGAACGCCATAGACCCGAAAGCCCTCACTCCTAATCCAGCCGTCTCAGCTCCTACCTACCAGCCAGGGAAACCCCCCTTCAGCAAGATTCTTTTGCTGGAGCGCAGTCCTTTGGACTCTACTCGGGTATGAAGGCGCGCACGTGCCTCGACCGTGGTAAAGATGTATTGGCACATTTGCAGCAGGTGTTGAGAGCGAGAGTGAGGCCACACGCGTTCGGGTTCGGCGTGCAGATTCTTGGCGCTTGGCGCTAGGGGTGTCAAGGCATCTAAACCCTAAACCCTATAACACCCAACACCTAAACCCTATATAAACCCTAAACCCTAAGACCCTAAACCCTAAACCATCTTCTTCTCCCAAAACAGGGATCAGCCGTGACCCGACACGCCGTGGCCCCTTCCCAGGAGCTTGTTGGCAATCTTAAGCGCAATCTCCTGCTCACTCAAACCTGAGCTGGCTTCGGAGTTTTAGGGTTTAGGGTTTCGGGTTTGGGGTTTAAGGTTTAGGGGCAGGAGTGTAGCAGCTTAGGGTTGGAGAGTTGAGGACATGAGGGCCTCAGGGCTTTAGGGTTCTAAAGGCTGACAGTGTCATGCTCGGGATTCAGCGATACAATAGTAGTTATGATAAGGAGCTGAGGCTTTTGCCCTAAACCCTAAACCCTAAACCCTAAACCCAAAACCCAAAACCCAAAACCCAAAACCCAAAACCCTAACCCTAACCCTACACCCTACACCCTACACCCTACACCCTAAACCCTAAACCCCCAAAAAACACTTCCGAGTGGCTGCAGCAGTCGAAGAAGGAGATATTGGGCCGCAGCACCATCCGCAGGAGCTTCCGCGCCTCGCCCTTCTGATCCTCAGTAGCCCTAAACCCTAAACCCTAAACCCTAAACCCTAAACCCTAAACCCTAAACCCGGGCTTTTGGGCTTCGTACGTCATGAGGGGTTCGTTAGACGTTTCTAGGGTTCAAGTTTTTGTTAATGGCCTTGCTTCTGCAGGCTTGCTGCGGTTTGCTTAAGGCTTATGACTAATGGTCTACAGCTTTCGGTCACCACACAAAAGATTCAAAAGAGGGGAGGGGGGGGGAAGAGGAGCGGGGCAAAAGGTGTGAGGCTGGGAGCCGAGGGACGTACTTGTGGTCAGGGCCACTTGGGGGCTGTGGTGGGTAGATGTCTGCCACCTTCAGGGGCAAGACGTCCAGCTGGTAATCCTGGGCATACCGGAGCTCGTTAAAGGAGCTGTAGGGAGAGGCCGTCTTCTCGCCATAGTGCTTGGTGCAAACTGCGATCATGAGCCCCTTGTTCTCAACAAGCTCGTCCAAGTAGTCCATGGTCATGGTGCCAAAATTGTCGCCAGCGTCGGCATCAACCATGAGCACGTTGAAATTGTGACTCTTCCTTGGCTGATGCAGTTGCTGCCTCGATCTGAGTTTCGGGTCTAGGGCTGCTCAGCATTGAGTAGCCCCGTCGCGGAGAAGGTGCCCGCCCTCTACTTACACCCAAGGAACCCTAGTCAAGCCGGAGCCATATGGGGGTTTACCATATGAGGGGGTATGCCTTAGTGGGGTCCTTAATATATGGGGATCCTACTACTTGTTTTTTTTTTAGGTGGCCCCGATTGTCGTAAGCCCCCATATCAAGGTTGCACAAAGCATCTACCTTGGGATGCTCCCACTTCTACTAACAGTCCTAGTATTACTCATAAGGACTCTTAGTATAAGGAAGAACATCCCAACATCAACCTCTAAAGGAAGCTGCGCGCCAGGCATCAGCAGTTGGTGTATGCGGCGAAACTTCGCCTCAATGGGACCGTTGTCGAAGCGCAAGGAGAACATGGCCAGCCTGGCAGCTGTCCCTGAAAGGCTTCTGGCTTCATCGTCTTTCCCTCTGCAGTTCAAGATGACAAAAAAAAAAAACATCCTTCGGGATGTTCCCCCTTAGACGAGCAGTCCTTAACAGGGTTTCTGAAAGGGGTTTCGGAGTTGAGCTTGTTGACTGCACCGGAACTTGCATAGGGCCTAGGGCGTAGAGGGCCATGCGAGACACATCCCCCCACCCCCACGCCATCGACGTCGAAAGCGACCAAACCAGTTCTATTCTGGTACGAGGCTTAGACCTTAGCCACATTCTTCGCCCAGCAACATGCATGGGGCCGCGGACGCCTTTTGGGGGGGTCGATGGTCCTCTGCAAACTCTTGCAGATCAACCTGAACGCTAAACTGCTAGGACTGGGTTTACTGGGTGTCAGATTTGCCACAGCGGGCTTTAGGAACACCCTGCTGAAGCCATGAGCTCCAAAAAAGGCCCCAAAGGATGCCGTCGGATGCCCCCAGTCTGGAGACCCTGCCTCGCGCCCTTGCCATCGGGGAGAACGCTGGAAGGCGTGGGGGTCGGATAGCCCGCCTCTAGGGGAGGCAACAGTTGGGGGTATGTTGAGGGTAGCCTCGAAAGTCTGCTCAAGTCTCAGGACATAACCCTAAACCCTAAACCCTAAACCCTAAACCCTAAACCCTAAACCCTAAACCCTAAACCCTAAACCCTAAACCCTAAACCCTAAACCCTAAACCCTAAACCCTGCACAGTTTTGGGGGTTGATAGATACAAGAAAGCTCCTGTCGTTGACATTGAGGGGCATCCTCAAGCCTAAAAGCTGCCTTAAACTGCACGGATGGGGGAAAATCCCTGTGGCCGTGGAAGAACCCTAACTGAACCTGCCTGGCAGCCTTTCAGCCCCTCAACCCCCTGAACCATCAAAGCCCCCAAATCCTCTCCGGGTTTTGTTTGTTGCGGGGTTTTGTTAGCACCCGCAGCCATCAAGGCAGGGATCTTAGTGGTCCATGATTGTCACGACTGATAGAAGACCAAGAAGAAGAACACAACAAAAAACAAAAAGCGAATAGCCACTTGTCACACCCCACTAGGCTGCAAGTTTCCCGAAGTTCCCACCTGCATCTTTGCCTCTGGCTGCTCACCTGGTGCCTTTTGCTCGCAGGCCTGCGGAAAAACTGCAACGACATCGTGTCAATACTGTGCACGCGAATGCTGGGCCATGATGATCTTTCCAATCGCGCCTCAAGACCTAAGCTTATAAGCCCTGAATGCTGAACCCTTTGGTTCTCAAACTGACCTCTTAAGGCTGACCTAACGCAAACAGCCCTGGAAGGCACCAGTATGTCACCCCGAGACAGAACATTCGTGACCTCAACCCCCACGGGCCGGGTGCAGCCTTGAGAAGGGTAGGGTATTTTCTTTGTGTTTTTTTCTGTTTTTTTTTTGTGTTTTTTTTGGTTTTTAAGCAAGAAAGAAAGAAAGACAGAAAGAGAGAAAGAAAGAAAGAAAGAAAGAAAGAAAGAAAGAAAGAAAGGAAGAAAGAAAGGAAAGCAAGACAGAAAGAAAGAAAGAAAGGAAGAAAGAAAGGAAGAAAGAAAGGAAAGAAAGAAAGAAAGAAAGGAAAGCAAGACAGAAAGAAAGAAAGAACTAAAGAAAAAAAGGCCGAAAGAAAGGAAATCAAGACAGAAATAAAGAAAGAAAGAGAGAAAGAACGAAATAAAGAAAGAAAGAGAGAAATAAAGAAAGAAGGAAAGCAAGACAGAAAGAAAGAAAGAGAGAAAGAAAGAAAGAAAGAAAGAGAGAAAGAAAGAAAGAAAGAAAGAAAGAAAAACAGAAAGAAAGAAAGAACGAGAGAAATACAGAAAGAAAGAAAGAAAGAGAGAAAGAAAGAAAGAAAGAAAGAACGAAAGAAAGAAAGAAGAAAGAAGAAAGAAAGAAAGAAAGAAATACCCCCCCCCGCTTTGTTTAAGCCGTGCAAGCTTGCCTCAAAGCATATGCCATATGCACACTTTTGCGGAAACCCATCATGCGAGAATCGTCACATTTTCGGAAACGCATCATGCGAGAATCGTGTTTGCAAATGGGGGGGGGGCTGCGCCCCCCCCAACCCCCCCGCTTTCTCAAGCCGTGCAAGCTTGCCTCAAAGCATATGCCATATGCACACATTTTTGGAAACCCATCATGCGAGAATCGTGTTTGCAAAAGGGGGGGCTGCGCCCCCCCCAACCCCCCGCTTCCCGCAACACACCCTACACCCTACACCCTAAGCCGTAGTTCCGGACTGCAGGGGCAATGATACGAGGAGCAACCTTGACCCCGCAAACCGTAGAGCCTAATAAGACCCAAACCGTCCACCATAAGCCGCAAATCCTGATAGAATATTTGCGGCCTACATGCGCAGTAAGCCCTAAACCGAAGCAAAGTTTCAGATTGAAGCATCCGAGGTTCCTCTTGAACCAGCCCCGGACGTTAACTAGCTTTTGAGTCCTGTCGGAGCCAACGATGGCAGCCCCGACGCTCCAAGCGCGAGTTGCAAAAGGACGAAGGGTTGGACGTAATGTGTTGTTGTAGCACGTTGAGATTTGGACCTGTTCCGGACACGCGGTGCCGCTGAGAGGCCATCGGAAGCTGAAAACCAGCAAAATTCACCAAAAAAACCAGAAAAACACACAGAAAAGAATTCCCACCAGAGGAGGACGACAGGCAGAACCAGGAGGGCATGTTCTGAAAACCACAAGAAAAGCAAGAAAAAGCAAGAAAACTCACAAAAAAAACCAGAAAAATTGACAAAAAAAATCCTCGCTCCCCTTGAGAACGGAGGCTTAGGACTTTGCAAGTATCCGCCACAGGATCTTTCGAGGCACTTGTGCTCAGCACACTGCTACAAGGCATCTTGAGCATGGCGAACATGCCAGGGGCTTCTGGCGGCCCCACTTAATATGGGGGCCTGAATTTTATAGTTGAATTAGAACAGGTTTTTGGGGGTATGTGTAGTACAAATACATAGTGGCCATAAGGGATTGCTATTACGTCCCAATCCTGCGACTCCGGCAGTGCCCTGCCTGCACGGCCTGCGCTGGGTCGGCCGCTGTGGGCCCCTCAGCCTGTGCAGTCACTTCCCTGAAAGAATCCGGAACAACATGCAGCAGGCATGCAAAGCATGCTTAAACCTCGAGGTAAGGTCCCTTCTTCAAAGTGGAGAGTCGAGCTAGAGAGTCTGCCTCTGGCTGCTCGGCTGGTGCCTTCTTCTCGCTGGCCTGCGAAATTTGCACCGAGATCGTGGCCTATACTCTAGTCACCTAGTCTATACCGTGCGAATGCTGGGCCTTGATCACCTCCTTGTTCTCGTCGTTCAAAGCCAAGTTGTCCAATGCATCCCCAGCAGCTGCGGCCACATCGTCGTCGTCAGACGCTCGCAGCTCCACCAAGGGGCCAATGGCGCCAGCCTTCCCGATGGCGGTGCGAAGACCCTCACCCTGACAGGCCAAGTTCGCGAGTGCGCCGGCCGCCCGGCGCTGTCGGGTCCGACCCCCTGAGCTCAGCAGCTCCACAAGCCCCTCGATGGCGCCCTTCTCCGCCATGGCCTTGCTGCAGGCTTCCGAGTGGGAGGCGTTGCGGAGCACACCCGCGGAGTCGGCCTGGGCCGGGGCGGCGCCACTCCGGAGAACTTTCACCAGAGAACTGATGGCATTGGGGTTTTCGGCCAGCGCACGGACGGCGCTGTCGCCCGTGTTCACGAGGAGCATTAGAAGCGCTGCCGCGTTCTCTTGCGCTGTTGGCGTGCCATCCAGCAACTTCATGGCTGGAGTCATCCCTCCGAGTTTCACAACGAGTCGCTCCAGCACATCGTCATCTTCACCATCGCAAATGTTGAAAAGCGCTTCTGCGGCAGCTTCAGCATCCGATGCCACGTTGCTCTTAAGCTTTTCCACGTGGGCCTTGACCGCGTTCACCTTACTCAAGGTCGCCTTTTCCTTTCGGGCCCGAGGTCTCAACCTCTTTTGCTAAGCGTGGGGACAGGGGAGAGGCTCGCTGAATAGTGAAAACTGTCGACTTGGTGAGATTTCTGAAAATGTTTGAAATGCTAAGTCCTGAATGCTGAGCAAAGCGTTTCCACCATTTTCCACCCCTTTTGAGGCCAGGCCTGGTCGACGGTGGCCTTGTTGGCGTCATGACGCGCCAAGTTCTCCAAAGCATCCTCAGCCGCTTCCGCCACATCCTCGTCGCGAGACAGGCATAGCTGCGCCAGCTTGCTGATGGCATCCTGCACGGGCAATGTATGCCCAAAAAGCCTCTGCAAAAAGGCCCCTTTACAGGGTTGACTAGGGGGATTATTACAAACCCTTGTACTAGCCCATGCTGGCATCCTTGCTCAGCCGGATGCCGTGGTGCCTTGCCAGGTTCCCCAGTGCTTCGGCTGCCCGGCGCTGAGCGCAGGGGTCGCTGAGGGGCGCCGTCACGAGGCCCACGAGCCCTTCGACGACGCCTTCCTGCTGGGCCACGGCCTTGCTTCGAGCTTCCGAGTCCTCGGACACATTCCGGAGGACAGCGGCGGAATAGGACCGCGCCTCGCTGGAGCCTTTCCTTGGGGGAGGACATGAACCCTAAAGGGGTTTAGGGTTCATATGTCCTTCATCGGAATTATTGTAGTATAAGGTATAGAACCCCAATTTTAGGGTTCATTTGGTCTGCAAGGTTCTGCAAGACCTCCACCAGCGAAGGGACGGCGCCAGGCTCCTCCAGCAACGCCTGGTTGGCACTTTCACTGCCTGCACCCCCGGCCAGGAGGTACATTAGGAGCCGGGCGGGCTTCTCGTCCTTTGTGTCGCCCAGCAGCTTCACCGCCAGCTGTATGCCACCTGCTTCGATGATGGGTTTCTTGTACACATCGTCGGTCTTACCTGAGCCGAAGAAAGAGAAAGAGAGAGAGAGAGAGAGAGAGCGAGACGGGAAAGAAAAGGTCTGATGAAGAAGGTTCGACAGAAACTATGGCTTTTGTAGCCCAGTAACCATATTAACATACGGGTCGCATTGTTTTGGGCATGGTTGCTTTAAAAGGGAACCTAGACCCCAAAAACGGCAACAAAAACGGGTGCCACCGACCTACCATAGGAACGAAGGTGCACTTGTCACCAAGAGCATCGGCAGCGCTTAGCGCCTCCCTTGCCTGGGCGCTTTTCAGCTTCTCAATGTCTGGCTTGATGGCTGCCACCTCCCGTCATGGATGTATTTAGGCAGGTTTCGACTTCTTGGGTTTTTTGGGTCTCTGGGGTTGAGGTCCGTTATCCCCCCCGTGGGTTGAGGGTTCTCATTCGTCAAGAGAGCCGATCAAAAAAAAGTGAAGTCGCATAACCCTTGATCCCACACCCCAACCGCCCTAACGCCTGTGTCATCATTATTGGCAGACCCTGGTCTTTCAGCCCTTTCACCTGATTTGGGGTGTGGCGTTTTAGGGGAAACCCCAATAGCTTCGCCCCAGGAAGCTTCCGCCAGATCCAGCCTTGTCGAGGTTTAAGGGCTTCCTTAAAATGTTCCCCCTTATACTAGCATTGGGATGTTCCCCCTTATGCTAGCAGTCCTTTATCGGGATTATAGTAGCTCCTATTCTAATCCCTAAGGACCTCTAGATTATCAGGGGAGAATATCCCAAAGGCTGCCGATCTTCGCAGAAAGCTGCATCCAGGGCTCAGAGTTCAACCCTTTTTGTGGGATTCCTTCTTGCCGGTTGCCCAAAAGTCCGCTACAACCACCTTGCGTTTCACATGCACCCTTAAAATCATCAGATCGCAACCCTATAAACCCTAAACCCGAATACCCAAAAAACATCCGAAAAACACAAAGCAAACCAACAAGACCAACACATTCAAAAAAAACAAAAACAAAAACCAAAACCAAAACCAAAACACACAAAAAGAAGAAAACCCCATTCGCAAGCGCGCGCTCTAGTGCCGTCGGCCGCCTTGGCTTGGTCGAGCCGCCCCTTGTGCTCCTCAAGGGCTCGCTTCGTGTCGCTGGCGAAGCTTCCCTTCTCCTTCCCCAACAGTTCTTGTGGTTGAAGGGGGGTTTGGGGTTTAGGCTTTAGGGCTTAAGGCTTAGGACTATGACATGAACCCCCTTAAAACAAACATTGGGTTCAGGCTGCTTGCTCACTCATCTTACTTCGTGACATGGCCGGCTCCAGCACACTCCTCGTCAAATTCTGGGGCCGAAGAAACATAAAAAGGTCCCAAACTTCGACCCCTCCCCCCCC